TCTTTCAAAATAAATGTAAAGACAGTAAATAATGTCATTAGTTTTACCATCAGTTCAAGCCCGAAAGGGCAACAGACACAGTAATGATGCAGTACACAAGCTGTGGTTAAGACAGCTGACTCTACTGAGATGTGACGCTGTCTCTCTCTCTCTCTCTCACACACACACAAACACACACACACACACAGATCTTTTCTTTGGTATTTCGGCTGAAATTATGACAAAGCTGCTGAGAGTGTCGATACAATAATTAATCATAATTCATTTTGTGATTCCAGAAGTTTAACTGGATGTTCAATATAACGAATAGCTTTTAAAGGGAACATTAGTCTTAATTGTATATTGTTGTTTTTTTAATAATAATAATTATAATACATTTAATTATTAACAATTCTGTTATAAATAATAATATATTAATAATTAAATTATTTATTATTAATAATTTAATTTGAGGTTTGCCATTTTTACAGCTGTTGAAATGTCTAAAAAACTGTTAGATCCCTGATTTGTGTGGTTTTGTTATTTCTCAGCAATAAACTTTAAGATCATGAAATGCATTTAATACAGTTAGTTACAGTGTTGCAGATTTAATATTCAATGAACCTGTGACTTTGATCGTTTTTCTTAAAATAAGTTTCCTAACCGGGTTAAACACTACTTTAGTGTACAAATTGATAAAAACTATTTGTACTTTGTTCATGTCTAGAATATTTAAAACAAATGCGCAAGCAACTTTCTGTAAGTTTATATCTCGATCACACAGATATGAGCAGCTGAAATTATGATGAAAAGTTGATGAAAAACACAGACACGTTTCCCTGAAGCTCAAATAATGATATTACAAATTACATGTTCAAAGAATCTTATTTGAAGTATTAAAACTCAATTCAAGTATTAAAAAGCAAAATCAAGATGATTTTTTTTCCTCCTTAATAATTGTTGGTTATATTTAACACTTACATAATCACAAAATGACTCATGATTCATTCATATTTTGACACTCCCAGTTTGAAAGTTTAAAAACAAGTAGCTTTGTCATAATTACAGCCGAAACACTGATATTTCATTCTACAATCAAAAAAAAAAAAAACTGGTGTAGAAGCAGAAATTGCTAGTAAGTTCCACAAATAATTACAAAGAAACAGCAAGTAACGTGACATTTTGAAGTATAAAAACGGAAATGGTATTTTCTTGAGAAAAGCACTTCCATAATCTTTTTTTACAGTTTTGAAAAATCCTTTTTATAGCATATGTGACCCTGGAGCACAAAACCAGTCATAAGTGTCAATTCTTCTGAATAAATCAGCTTTCCATTGATGTATGGTTTGTTAGGATAGGACAATATTTGAAAATCTGGAATCTGAGGGTGCAAAAAAATCTAAATATTGAGAAAATCATCTTTAAAGTTGTCCAAATGAAGTTCTTAGCAATGCATATTACTAATCAAAAATTAAGTTTTGATATATTTACGGTAGGAAATATACAAAATATCTTCATGGAACATGATATTTACTTAATATCCTAATGATTTTTGGCATAAAAGAAAAATGTATAATTTTGACCCATACAATGTGTTGTTGGCTATTGCTACAAATATCCCCCAGCGACTTAACACTGCTTTTGTGCTCCAGGGTCACATTTGAGAAGCACTTTCACCTGGAGGAACTTTACAACCTGCGGATAAAGCTGTACCGCGCACAAAAACGATGCATACGGGCCCCTAAGGACTGTAACTAAAATATATTACAGAAACAGAAACTGGGTGGGTTAGGATAAGTAAATTAATTAACCACAATTCATTTTGTGATTCCAGAAGTTTCAAGAACTGCTGAAGTCTAAAATAAAAAGAAGTTACTGAGGAGAAAAATGAATACGATTTCAGTTCACATCACTGCATCAGTGTCTCAGCAATGGATGCTCTGCAGTGAATGGGTGCCGTCAGAATGAGAGTCCAAACAGCTGATAAAAACATCACAATAATCCACAAGTAATCCGCAGCACTCCAGTCCATCAGTTCACATCTGGAGAACACAAAAGCTGAAACAAATCCAGCATTAAGATGCTTTTAATGTCTAAAATACGAGTCCATAATAACGCTTCCTCCAGTGAGTCAGTGTTCTGGTGTGAATCAGGAGAGAAATCTGCACAGATCAAGCACCGTTTAAACTGCTCTAAACAAATATGTGGCTGGATTTTGATGCGAGAGACAACAGCAGATGCACTTGTGGACTACATTTCTGCAATCCATGCAATCAGTGATGTTATTTTCACGTGATCATGCTTTTCATTACATTCACTCTCGTTAAGCTTTGAAGACTTTTTGATACAGAAATTTGACTTTTACAACATGAGCATTTTCATTACTTCGGAGTCAGGTTTCCTTCTCTAAACACAGCTTCTGAAACTCTAAGAAGAGCCAGATGTGTTGAGATGACTTTATGACTAACGGCACGTAGCAGTAATGGATTACAAACATGTCTTGGTTCTTCTGAGGGTAGCAGCCCATTTGGACCATGCATGCATGTCTGATGATGATGATGATGATATACAGAGATATTTGATCCTGGCATCATGTGCTGGAGTCAACACATGTACATATAATCCACATAAACAAACCCCCGCAGAAGAGAGATTCAGAAAACATCCTAATGCAGGAAAGCCAATCATTTGAACATTATCTCTTCATGCATGCATCTGCCAAACGCTGTAAATGTGGCTCGGCCTCTCCATTGCCAAACCACCAAGATATCAGGCCCTACATGGTAGAGGTGTTCAATCGCCCACTGATTCCAGAGGGTTTTAGGAGCGCATACAGAAAGGATTTAGGGCGATGAACTCATGTGTCCTCCAGAGATATAATGAGTGTTATATTGGGTTTCCCTTCTGTGGAATCCATTTAGCGCATACCAGCTGCCTAGACTCATAAACCAACAGGGACGGAATTAATGGGCAAAAAATAAAAGGGTGAATGCCACATGTTCAGATTACACTGCACCACACCCCAATAAAGATTATATGCATTTGGAGCCTATTTTTTTACATTGTGTGCCTTTTGTTTACCCTGCAATAAATAACATATGATGCATTAATTATTACATTTAAAAACATTTTATCAGTATTTTATTGCATTATACTAATTGGTAGAGGACCAATTTTCTTAAAGAAAAATGTGATTTTGTTTAACCTTACAAAACGTGTAACACATGAATTCTTACATTTAAATACATTTTAATGTATCAGTAATTTTATTGTATTATAGCCTACTAGCTAATTGTGGGAGAACTGATTTTCTTAAAGAAAAATATGAATTTTTGAATGTTCTGCATTGTGTGCATTTTGATCACCCTCAAAAGCAGTGTAATAAACAGCATATGATGCATAAAGTCTTACATTTAAATACATTTTAATTTATCAATATTTTTACGGCATAATACTAATTGGGAGAGGAACGATTTTCTTAAAGAAAACAATTAATTTTTGCATTGTGTGCATTTGGTTTACTCTTAAAAGCAGTGCAATGAACAGCATATTACGCACAAATTCCTACCTTTAAATTTATCAATATTTTTGTTGCATTGCACTAATTGGAAGAGGAGCACTAATCTTAAAGTAAACCATGAACTTTTTAAATTTTACATTGCGTGCATTTTATTTACTGTAAAAATTCTCATTTACCTTTTTTTTTTTTATTTGACTGACTTACTAAATCAGTGCAATGAATAGTACAATGATGCATTAATTATTACATTCAAATGTATCTATATTCTTATTGCATTACACTAATTGGGAAAGGGACAATTTTCTTAAAGAAAACCCCGGATTATTTTTCTTTTGATTTTGGAGTGAAATATGATTCAAGCATGTTCTTGACTGGTTTCATAAGATTCACCCCAAAGTAAAACACTTGTACAATTCAGTATGCCGCAAATGTTTTACTTTAAGAACAGTCAAGTCAAACTAGTACTATATCAGCTTACTAAATAACCAGATAACAGACGCTGGCATTCTGAACAGCTCTTATTATCTCAAGGCTTTAGTGTTTGTCTTCACAATCTCTTTGTGCCAGCAGAAGCTCGTTCCCCATCTCCTACATCATGCTCTATTTCTCAGTGTTTGTGTGGATGTGCCTCTGCTTCATGAATCTCCAGCTAAATATAGTCATGGCAGTGTGACGCTGGAGTGTTGCGTGATGCCCGTCTATAACCTCGCTGAGGATGCAGTTGCAGAAGCACTAACTGGATAACTGTGACAGATCAACAAGGTAACCTCTGCAGACACATGGACTCCTCTGGAGATTAAAGCAAGGTGAAGGTGCAGTGATGTGAGTGGAATGCAGTGATTTCTTCTGAAGCTGTAAAATGCATTTGAGGAAATACAGTAGCACTACTGTACAAGTTTAGAGTAAATTTGGGACTGTATAAAATCGTTGTAGTTTATCTGATTGCACCAATGCATTTTTTTCACTTGCCTGTATATGCAAACTTTTACAAGTACCTTGTTTTTGATGTCTCTCCAAATGAAAAATCCTATTTTAAAAAGGACATGCTGCATAGCATCACATCGTGCACTTGATGTTTTTGCTACTTTGTTGAAATTGTGCACTGATTTAATTGCATATTTCATGAACTAATCTGACAAACAATGTTTGAGAAACTGGCAAAAACAGATTTTAACAGGTCAACATTAAAAAAAGAGATGATTTTAAAACACAATGATCTAAATGTGTTTTTTTAAATCAGCGAGTAAATAGCATCATGGATTGTTCTCAGTCTGGAAATGCAGACGCCACAATGGAGACGGATGGGAGCGTGAACGCTGCGAAAGATGATACAGATGAAGACAAAGAAAAGCATGAAGGTAAATAATTAAAAATTTATTGGCAAATAATCTCAAAATTACCTTCTCTTAAAGGAACAAGCGCTCCCAAAAATTAAAATGTGCTCACCCTCAGGCCATCCCAGATTAGGATGAGTTTGTTTCTTCATCAGGTTTGGAGAAATGTAGCGTTGCATCAGTCTCAGCAATGGATGCTCAGCAGTGAATGGGTGCCGTCAGAATGAGAGTCCAAGTAATCCACAGGAAGCATTATTATGGGTTATGGACTTGTACTTTAACAAGCAGCAATGGTTTAAAGTTAAAAACATCTTGTTTCAGCTTTTGTCTTCTCCAGATGTTAACTGATGGACTGGAGTGCTGTGGATTACTTGTGGATTATTGTGATGTTTTCACTTGCCTGTATATGCAAACTTTTACAAGTACCTTGTTTTTGATGTCTCTCCAAATGAAAAATCCTAAAAGTCCTATTTTAAAAAGGACATGCTGCATAGCATCACATCGTGCACTTGATGTTTTTGCTACTTTGTTGAAATTGTGCACTGATTTAATTGCATATTTCATGAACTAATCTGACAAACAATGTTTGAGAAACTGGCAAAAACAGATTTTAACAGGTCAACATTAAAAAAAGAGATGATTTTAAAACACAATGATCTAAATGTGTTTTTTTAAATCAGCGAGTAAATAGCATCATGGATTGTTCTCAGTCTGGAAATGCAGACGCCACAATGGAGACGGATGGGAGCGTGAACGCTGCGAAAGATGATACAGATGAAGACAAAGAAAAGCATGAAGGTAAATAATTAAAAATTTATTGGCAAATAATCTCAAAATTACCTTCTCTTAAAGGAACAAGCGCTCCCAAAAATTAAAATGTGCTCACCCTCAGGCCATCCCAGATTAGGATGAGTTTGTTTCTTCATCAGGTTTGGAGAAATGTAGCGTTGCATCAGTCTCAGCAATGGATGCTCAGCAGTGAATGGGTGCCGTCAGAATGAGAGTCCAAGTAATCCACAGGAAGCATTATTATGGGTTATGGACTTGTACTTTAACAAGCAGCAATGGTTTAAAGTTAAAAACATCTTGTTTCAGCTTTTGTCTTCTCCAGATGTTAACTGATGGACTGGAGTGCTGTGGATTACTTGTGGATTATTGTGATGTTTTTATCAGCTGTTTGGACTCTCATTCTGACGGCACCCATTCACTGCAGAGCATCCATTGCTGAGACACTGATGCAGTGCTACATTTCTCCAAATCTGATGAAGAAACAAACTCATCCTAATCTCGGATGGCCTGAGGGAGAGCACATTTACAGCACATTTTTATTTCTGACTGAAACACAACACTACATCTGTATAAATTTGAATGAGGAATGCATCAGTTTTTCACTTGTTATATTGGGCAGAAGTCGTCCCTGTGCGTAAGGCCTCCTGGGAGCCCAGTGTGCTTTCCACCATTGGAAAGGAGATGCATTATTTCGCCGGTCATGAGATCAGCATCTGGGAGTCTCTCGATTCATTTGGTTCTGTCATTTGGCCAGCAGTGAGACGAATACTTTATTACATATTTGAAATATAAGCTGAAGTGTGCCATTAGTCGGATGTTCAAATTCATCCTGGTGTTCAATTTCATGTTTAGAGTCACTTTCTGAAGAGTGAAACACTGTGACACTTTCACAACAATGATCTGTTTGTTTGAGTTGCCCGAAATGTCAACTTCTGACTCGACCAATCACGAGTTTGGGGCGGGGCTATCTAACTGACCAATGGCAAACAGGCATGGGCACATGCAAGGAATTTTTAGTCTAGAACTTGTTCTAGAGGAGCAAATAATGGCACAGTTCACCTTTAACCATTTGTACATTTGGTTCCTGATTGATATTCATAATCATGATACATTTTCTAAATTATTATTTAGGCTCTGGCTCTGTGTCGCTACCTTGAGTCCAACCAAGCGATGGTTGACCTTGTTGACAAGGCGGTGCTAGAGATTGGCGCCGGCACAGGTCTTATTTCCATCGTGGCCAGTCTGTTGGGTAGGTACTAAGCAGCAGTGCTGGGGAAAGTTACTTTTAAAAGTAATGCATTACAATGTTGCGTTACTCCCTAAAAAAATAACTAATTACGTTAGTTACTTTTTATGGAAAGTAATGCGTTACGTTACTTTTGAGTTACTTTTTAAATCTGGGCAGGTGTTCAGTGAATCTGAGGGTTGACCCTCCTAAAAAAATGATTAAAAACCATCATGCTGTGTATTGTAAATAACAATGTTTTATACTTTAAATAATTATGCAAGTAGTAAAACAAAAACGCAAACGGGGCAAAAATGCGTTTTAAGTTTAGAAACATTTTGAGTCTCCCCCTCCCTTGCCTCACAGTGCTTTGGTCCGAATGCCTGCTTTCCTCTTTCACATCACCTACACACACACACACACACACACACACACACACACACATATGAGTCCGGTGAGAGACAAAGACAA